CCTCCGCGATTATTGCAAGTTATTATCTGCTACGGGACTGTTCGATTTAATGGGCAATTGTTTCGAACGCTGCTGTAGTTGGTAATAGAAATTTACTAGGAGGACTTACGAGCCGGTTGCTGATTTTGACTGTAGCTGTATATACTTATGTATATATGTTATGGGAGCAATTACAGTGATAGATATCAAAATCGTCCAATGACTATGATTTGGTGAATAGTATATGGGTGGTTTGAATTAGGTCTTTTTTTGTTTCATATTTTCCCTTAAAAATATGCCAGGACAAATTGAGTCAATGAGTTTGGTATTTCTTTTTTCTAGTGATTTTTTTTTTTACTAGAAGGTAATTGGCTGCATTCTCGAAGAACATAATACCACTAATAGAAATAGGTTAGGGGATAGGGCCCCTTTAGGTTTCACTGGGATAATCGCTCGGGATTCTATTAGACCCACCCCGCGGCCATCGGGGATGACTTGATTTAGCGGCACGCAGTGGCAAGTCCCAGCGTGAGGCTTTTGGGAGCGTAGGAAATTTTTTGGAAAAAAAAGTAGGTTCACTATGAAAATTAAAAGAAATCACGTAAAAGTGAAAGGGATGGATTTGAGTCGTATAATGGACGTGAGTCCCAATTTCTTCGGAAATAGTGTATATAGACATCGATCGGGCCGGATACCGTTGCAAAGGGGCACGTTTGACAGCTGTTCAAGTATCGTGGCCATTTTAATTGAAAAAAAGTCCCGCGGAGGCTGGGGGCATCAATTTGCTCGATTATCCTCTCAAGCTCCAGCATTGCTAAGGCCCATGGTAGGTCGGTCCCAGGCCAGGACAGAAAACCTACTATAGATTACCAGGCCTGTTATTACGACGGAGCGGAGGTTTTTTCGGGACCAAAAATTGGTTTTTAATGCTGGGTTCGTCGCTTTCTTCTATCCCGAGGGGCCTCCCGGTCGGTAATAACTATATTACCAGGCCCTTAGACCACGCGCTATACGGGGTCTTACTATTTGTTCCTATCCCCTAGAAACTTGGTATTTTCATAGAAAATTTAACCAAAACTTAAAATTTCTTACACGACAATTCTTCTATCTGGTACCAGCTGCTGCCATCTGGTACCAACTGGTACCAAACGTTCTCCAATAACCCATATAAAAATGTTTGGACATAAAGTCCCACCAGATGAACTAGTCCTGATAAACGTCAAAGAAACATTCCTTCTCTGACCTCAAAATACAAAAACCCAAATACTATAAACACCTCAAACGCATTTATTATCAGAATTATGAGTACTGCCACTCGAACCACCTCGTACCGTACATTTTCCCATGAGACCCTGGTGGATTCTGACGTAACTGGTCAGTGCTCGAGGAGGTGCCAGTAAGAGGCGGGTACTGCCTCGTAAACCTTAGATTTACTTCAGGCCGCCATCAAAGTAGCTCAGACCCAAGTAACGTTCCTCCTACATGGAACAAGACTACGGAACGATCTTATCAGAAATTCATCGTCCAGTACTACCAACCTGAAGAGTCCAAAAAATTTTTTGAACCCCATACTGTCAGAGACTGATGAACCAAAAATATTTTATCACAATCAAAATAGGAAAGTGGTTAACACTTTGGTAGGGGTAGAGATTGAGATAAAATTATAGATAAGATTAAAAAGATAATTTTGGTTATATTGCACTTTTGGTTTAACCCCATCACCACGATAATTACCTGTACCGAAAATTTCTAGAACGTTGGCTGGTTGAACGAGGATCGGTAATAAAATTTGCCCAGTGTACAACCGACTTGGGGGTTTGTTGCTTGCCAAAAGCGGGCTATTAATTTTTTTTATCTTCAATCTGCCTGGCTGAGGCACGGGAGAAGTTTTCAATATCTGAGGCTCCCATAAAAATTCCCTCTTGGCTCGGGTAAATATTTTTTTTTATTTTCCTGCTATACCTTGCTTATTCACGTATAAGTCCATTTTACGCAATAACGTTATGTTAACTGGGATTCTTTATCTTTTGTACGGCACTGTACGTATCTGATGATGCTGGAACGACCTTGGGTATTTTGAGTTATCAAATATATTGGTAATGGATGGAGATATTATTTAAATTGATAATAATAAATTATTGATTAAATCTGTTGTTTATGTCTGGATCAATATAGTTTATGGGATGAGTGACGTCAGGTGAAAAAAATGTTAACTGATCGAGAGCAGGATCGAGGATCTATATTTAATCGGATGTCGGTGTGGGTGGGTCTGCTAAGGCCCCGACGGAGGTATAGATCGAATTGGTAGATAGCCGATACCTCTGGGAAATATCGGTATCGATAGTCGATCGAGACTAAATGGTTTATGCGAGCGATTGACCTTCGACCCTTGGTAATAACCGGTGAAGCATCTGCCGCCTGATCTATTGGATTCGATCGACTTACACCTTGGTTGCAAATATATATTCTAACGTATCTTTCCTTAACTCGACACCGATAGCGAAAAATACGAGAACGAAGTATTTTCGAGAACCAACCTACGTTACCTTCGACCTTCGCTCAGGCAGCCGCAAGCCAGGCGGGCGCCAGCCAATTCTTTTTTCACCGGGAACTGACGAGCCGGTATGACCCGGGAGTTGGGGTGGAACAGGCCCAACTCCGCCGAAACAAGAGATCTGACGGAACCTATCGGACAATGCGATAACCTAACGGATCCTGTAGATTTTTGGGGTCGCGTGAAATCAGCGAACGCAACTGGGTGCGCGAACGGGAGCGGAGTAACAGAACGAATCGGACGTGTCAAATCGAAATCCCTTCACCAATTAATAAATTGGGAGACTCACCGGAGCTGGTGCAGCTGATCCGTGAAGGCCGAGAATCGCATCCAGGAGACACTCGGGTGGGCACTGCAATTGGGAGACTCACCGGAGCTGTATCGGACAGTGCGACAACTTAACGGATCCTGTAGATTTTTGGGGACGCGTAAAATCGAGAAACGCAACCGTAGGTGCTGATCTTTGGGGTCGCGTGAAATCAGCGAACGCAACTGGGTGCGCGAACGGGAGCGGAGTAACAGAACGAATCGGACGTGTCAAATCGAAATCCCTTCACCAATTAATAAATTGGGAGACTCACCGGAGCTGGTGCAGCTGATCCGTGAAGGCCGAGAATCGCATCCAGGAGACACTCGGGTGGGCACTGCACTGGGGCACGGCACTGCACCTCCGGAAGACTCACAGGAAATCCAGAGAATTGCCTGGATATCGCGAGAGCAACGCGAGAAATACACGAGCGAGAACTTGGTATACCGGATCGAAACACGGCTAGAAAAACTATAAACAGACAACACGGGAGCGCGAGGCAGCTCGTGACACCTCGGTCGGTGCCCCGAGACAGACTGTTTTGACAACAGTCAAATTCGAGAACTAATCATTCTGATCATTTGATTGGTCGAGATACTTATAGCCGATAATTCTTCCTTTCCCTCGAGTCGTCCCTTTAAACCAAATCGAGAGCGTTCCTTAGCGAATCGGTACGTAACTTTTGGAGATCCTCCACGACCGCTTCCCCAGGGCATCGGGCGACAGCTGGGCACCACGTCCTTAACTCGGGTCACTCCTCTGCCCTTAAGCTTATCAAAACTATATCTCCGCCTGCTCTACAGCCCTTTGCCCATCTCCAGCGGGGCGCCGGTATCTCACCCGGGCTTCTGCCGGTCCGTGGAGACGTCTCCGTCGGGTCCTCTCCTCTGCCGGGCAACTCGGTACGTGGAGACTATCTTCCCACGGCAGAATCGAGCACCTCGACCTCAACTAAACAATATCGAAACCTTACGAGAGCATTGGCGTAACTATACGAATCAACCCGAGAGCGTAGCTTCTGAGCAGGGTGGCGATTCGAAGGGAACCAGAAAGCGAATATCGGTAGCCTGAGTCGCTTTGTGACCGTGAATCGAAAAATCACGTCACAATATAGATTTATACCCCTTTAGGGGGTAAGACACGGGGAAACCTTAAAATCTAAAAATAATAATATTTTTATTAACCCCCAAACCAACGTAATAGTTTAGATAAATTTTTGAAAATGCTCAATTTTTTTTTTTCAATGCGTCTTCAGATACAAATAACAAATGGTATTTTAATGGAATAAAAATTCAAACTGGAATTCGATGAAAGGCTAAAGAATCACCTGTCCCGTCGGCTGTCTGAAGAATTCACATACGTAACTATACTGTATGCATAATACACGGAACAGGTATGCATATAGGTATGTATATCAGGCTTAAGGCGAAACCACACGAAATCATTTGCGCAGTCCGTTAACATCACGAAGCTCTCTTAATGACGGTGTAAATTATTCAAAAATCGTGAGCGGAAGGTTTTGGGACCAGCAGCTGGCTGATCACGCACGTCGAGTATTAGTGATACTGAGAATATAAGATATTACAAAATAAAAGCTAGTTAGCCTGTATTTCTTGTGTTTAATTGTTCGAAATATTAATTAAAAAATAATAGAAAAAAAATTGATAAATAATTTCGCATAAGTGAAAAGAAAATCCTACTGACGTTTAAAGGGGTGTGAAAGAGCCTGTGAGTGGTTGAGAAATTATTTATGTTACGTAATTCAGTCCTGGTGCGTATACTTAATGTTGTGACTTGGCAGACACAATGGACTTTTTGTTGGGTTGATCTGGGACTTGTATAGCTCAGAGCCCCAAGATGGGACTTACTCGCTCAATAGCTCACTTACATTCGTGTAGTCTCTGTTGGGACTTATGGCTATTCATCAGGACGTAAATTATCAGGTGAGACTTGTATTGTCTGGACATTAGTTATTTTTGTTGTTGTTTCTTGCACGTGGCCTCTTCTGTCGTATGCTGGTAAGCCTGATGGAATTCCTGTAGGCTGGTACCTGGTGCTATACCAATGTACCATTGTGTTCGCATTCAGATATTTAGGTACTGCTGTACCTCAGGGAGAGGATATGGACTGGTTTGGGTTTGCTATCGAAGAAGCCTCGTATAATTTGAGAATAAATTAATATATTTATAATGGATATACGATAGGTACTGTCTTGCATGTCTTTTTATGTTTTTACGGCATGTCCCTTGTCTTTTTTTAGGCACGCGAGTCCAGCCCTTATACATGGATTACTTGAAGGTACTCAGTGACCCAAAGTTTGCTCCAAGTATTAATCCACTATTGTTGGCAGCCATCTTGACAGTGGCTTGCCGCCATTTCTATGCTACTAGATTTTCTTTTTTTTTTTATGTACACTTTAGGCAAATCTTCTATTGCTTCAAATAATATTTCGCAATCGAACACTAGGTATCCGTTTAGCACTAGTTCCATTAAATTAATTGTTTTATGCTATTTACAGTAAATACAATGAGATCTTTCGTTCCATTTTTTCTTTTTTTTCTTTTCAATTTCTTTTTCCTTCCTTTTCTTGGATACATACACGCGACGTATTTATACCACTCTGTTCTTAGAGCAACTTTATCGTTACCTCGTGACTATTATCATTCACTTTTCGAATTTTCGTGTGGATGATAAGAAAAAAATTTGAACACGTTTTCCCTCGTACTTAGAATCTTATTGCACATTTCTCGCGAAAAAATTGTTCGATCGAACGAAAGAAATCGGAACAAAGTTAAAGAGGTGCAAATGAAAACGAACCAAAAGAGTCTAAACGAAAGACTCTACTATTCGGATACGCCTTTTTTTATTTGCAGATATGTCGGAAGTGATATATGCTTCCCCTAAGTCTTTCCTCCAGTTTCTGAGGTCTTGCTTCCGGTCGAGTTCCAGAACGTTCCAGAAGGTTCAGACCCATTCGCGTCCTTGGTTACTACGTCGTGGAGGGTGACGTGGGTAAGGACGACGCCGGCGAGGTTGGAGACGCCGTGCCGTTATTAGGTGGCGTGCTGGATTCACGTCCATTGATCGAGGGCGTCGGGACGCGTTGATCGCTCGTACTTCCGGTACTAGTATCCTGTTGCATAGGCGTCGTTGATCTATTGTTACCCAAAAGACTGTCTATTGAGAACGGATTCAATCTTCTTCTCTCTTCCCTCCCCTTGACTGATAGGTCTATGCTGCTACTCTGGACCTCGTCCTCGTTGACCCTGTCTTCCTGAAGACGATTGGACCCTGGACGTAGACCAGAATTACCAAGATTCACCAGCTCCCGTCTTCGCTCCAGAAGACTCAGTCCCCAGTGGTGAATTCCCTGCTGATGATTCAGCTCCAGATTGAGCTCCAGCCCGTTGGGATTTTGAAGATGGGATCCCGTCCCGTGACCTCTTCTAGCATCAGTCTCTCCTAACCTGGAGTAACATTCTCCGTCCACTGAACCATCTGCAGCAGAGTCAACCCTTTCGCTACCACTCTCACTACAAGAGTCCAGACCCCCGACAACGTCAATCTCCTCATTGGCGTCGTTCCCGGAACCGGATACGCTACTTTCGTTGTTCCCCAGATGAGCAAAGGAGCCACTCAGATGTCCCAAAGAACTACCACCGGATGCTGCGGCGCTTCTCGATTCCCATTCCGCCTTCAGAGTGGACAGGTCCACGGAGATGCCCTGCGGATAGAAAATAAGGGTAACCAAACAAAACTAAAAGTGGCGCACAGCCTCTCGGATCATCCTTGCTAGATGATCATCTCAGATCTTTCTCAAGATGTCGCTCACCTTGGCTGCGAGTTTTCTCTGCTGACGTTCCAGCGCCTTCAGGAGTTTCTTCTGCCGCCTCTCACGCTCTTTCCTTCGCAATTCCTCCGGCGGTATCGGCTCCCCGCTGCAGCTCTGAGGATGAGCATTGTGAGCAGGCCTACCCGGTCCCTTCTTCGTGTGCTCCTTCTTCCTCCACTTGGCCCTCCTGTTCTGGAACCACACCTGGAGAACAGAAATAGTACAAAGATCCAATAAATAAACCAGCAAAGAAAAGGACCTCATTTTTCCAACCCCGCTTACAGGTTGTTTCACACGAAAAGAAAAGCGACCCTAGTTCGGGGGTGGTTCTCGTGCTCGACGATGAAGACATCGGTTGCGAGGGGTGACCGCGGACGGTAAGTGGCGCTGGTCTCACGCGAGCCAAAGATCAATAGACCCCCCCAACTCCCACTTTCGCGTGGCTGCCAACGTCGTCGTCCCCGCGACCTCCGCCACCTTGCCCTCCTCCACCACCTCTTCCACCCCTATATAAACCCACCCACCCTGAGACTCTTCTACCCTGGATACACGTACACCTTAACCACCACCCCTCTCGCTATAATTCCTTCGCGTTTAAAACTACCCCAACTGACCAACTCGAATAACCCAACACACAGTCCTCTAATGAGAAAGCCCAACTAATTATACTTCGGAAACGCGCGACCGGTGTGATTGCCAACTAGCGTTATGGGACCGACGACTCATTCGTGACACGCACTCACAAAACTTGTCGCTCCTGATTCAACCCGTAGATACAGATTTTTTAGTCAACCTCTCCTACACCATCTTGAAATTTGATTCTGACAATTAGTCGAAGACGCTTCTCCTCTGTCACGGACGTCCATGATTAACGACGCCCCGGCGTCCTAGAGTCCTGGACTTAAGCACCGCTTCATTATCGGCGTATTAAACTTATCAATGGACGAAGTTCCGTCGATAGGCTATCTAATCGGACTTGTCCTTCTCTACGGGGTGAAAAACTGGGACTCGCGTGTGAATAGGGAAAAATGCATGGGGCGACTGTGTCACCATGGGTTCCTATGGCGTTATCTACCGATCTTCGGTTGGCAACTGTACACCATATACCTACATATATATATATAGTCAACCCGTGAACACCATAGACAAAATTCACATATGTATTAACCACACGTGCTACGGTACCACCCTGTGTACCCTACGGTACGTGGCAAGGATTCTCGTGTTATCTCCGACACGACAGAAGCCGTAAGGGGGCTCTTGTCTCGTATGGTGTTTCTCGACTATCGCAGAACATAAATATAAATATATCCCCATACGTATGGTGGACGTGCGTGGACGTATGGATGTATTAACTGAGAAATAGGGTGACCCTTGAAAGCATGTCCGACCGGCCGTGAAATTGACGTTCACCCCATAACCCCCATTGCCTTTTCAAATATCCCCTCCATAGTGCACTAGGGTTCCCTAGTTTACCTATACTGCTCTATGGACTTACGTCGAATGCAGTATAGACAAATTTGGGACTTACGAATACTTCATCGCCTTGGATATTGGGCCCGATTAAGGATATCGTACGGTAGGGATAATTTGTTCGATTGATCTTAAGGGTTGTTTTCTTTTTTTTTTGGGTTTTCGTGAATTATGGTCATTTGTTTTAATCTTGTCTCTTTTATGGTATCGATGCTATAGTGTATTACTGATAATATATCTAGACCGAAAGAGCACTAGGGGTTATCCGGTGAAAATCGCCACAAGTTTCTACCAACCCCCTTTAGCCACCCCTGGATCCCATTTGCGTAGAAGGGTCCCTTTTCGGAGGTAACCGAGCTGAAGCAGATGGACTAACTACCCCCGTGAGAGTCGGACCGGTGTCGAAGGTCGAAAACCACCCCTCGGGCTAGGCCCGACGTCGATCCCTCGGTCATCCAAGACACTTTAAATTCGTGGCTGGTCTGCAGGGTGTATCTATACTGATACTGGATGACCTTGGGATAATTTTTTTTTTCATCAGACAGTTGGTACCAACTGGTGATAATTTTACTAGCCTTGTTTTTTATATTTCTTTTATTTTATATACTTACGGCCACGCGGCTCTCTTTTAGGTCCAGTCTGACCGCCAAAGCCTCCCTCATGAAGACGTCAGGATAATGACTGGACAGGAAGGCCCTTTCCAGCTCCTCCAATTGCCAACTGCTAAAATTGGTCCTGCTTCGTCTTCTCTTGCTGCCACCCTCGTCGGATTCTCCGTCGCATCCTGGAATAAGAAAAATGGAATTTAGCTCTCGAAATACGTCATAGGGATATATTATTTTTGTACCCTTAAACAAGGGTCTATTCGTTTTACGCCTACTGGGACTATTTTAGGGGTGAGTTATCGGGATCGAATCAGCTATGTCAGGAATTTGATTTAGAAATCACTATGTTTATTCTTTCTTATTCATTGCATCGGCTCTCTAGGAGTATCCAGAGGCGTCGCGACGCTACCACTCTAACAAAGGGACAGTCTATCTAAACAGTATATTGAATAAACATGGAATTTCATGATTTTACGAGGGCGATCTGCGTTCCAGGACCCTTTATCGGTCCCAGGATCTGCACCCCCCCCCACCCAATTGTTTTGAACTCGTATGTATGCTAATGCCCCCACTTGCGGAATTGAATAAGAGATCCGAAATTATGATGGAGACGTGGTCGAGGAGTTATCTTTATCAAAGATATGAAAATAGAAATAGGTAAAAAAAAAGAAAAAAGAATTGGTCATGGTCATAAGAAAATGGCACCGCCCTCGTTCTCGTGATCGACGAAAGTCTTTTAAGGGTGAAATTCAATTTTTTTTTTTTTTTTCTAAAAATAACTAACCCCGTTATCTTTACGCGTTTCGGAACTTCCGATTTATAAAACGGAAACGTTTATTTCTTCCATAACTATTTTCCTGACTTACCGACAACCTTAATCCTTTTTTATTACCATTTTTCTTGCTTTTACCTAAATCTTCAAATATATTACCCTATTTCACCTCAAAGCCTACGAATCTTTATAAGACTCCAGATGCATATCGCTTGGTCAATTTTTTCGGATTAAAAAAAAAGCGCACGCTCTGATCTTCCAGAACGCTATTTTCTCGAGAATTTCGACTTAACCAAACGTGAAAAAAAATACCAGGAGCCAACCTACTCCTTATCCACCCTTTAGGCAAGTCATACAAGTCCGAAAGATAAGGTCGCGAAATACTTCAAGCCGCATTAGCAACATCGCGTAATTAGATGCGATTTATTCGCAAGTGCTTCAGGCCTGATCCCTCATATCTTAAGCAGCAGACTATAGATACTTATCGAACTATACCTTATTACCGATAATTCATGAATTACAAAATAAACGACCACGTCGGATACTCCCAAGTACACGGTGCATTCGACTTAACTCGTCATAGTCAGAAATTGAAAATTTAAAAAAAAATCACCCCCCCATTCAAAACCCACATATCTCAGTTAAATCCAATTCAAATAACCCGCTAAAATTTTAATCTCGAATAATATCCCAATTTCCTCTTGTCATGGTCTAATAAAAGCACACCCCTTCGCTGTCAGGTATTTTTAGATTAGTGGATCAGTAGCAGACACTTAGTACAGACAGGTAGTAGTGGACGTAGATATTTAGTAGTGAGTACAGGCTGGATCAAAAGATTCACGTATACCGACACATGGTCATGCTTATGGATATTGAAGGTTATGGCTACGGGCAAAGTACAGGATGGCGTGCTGGCTTAAGGCGTTTAATAAGGCCTCCTTGTACACCCGAAATAACATGTAATTAAATTGAAATTACAAGCGAGCTAGGTCCAGAGAGCGCGGGTCGAGTGTTCCTTGAGTAGCGAGGGGAATATGAGGTAGCGCAGTACATCGAGGAACACGTTACAATTAGCCGTGAAAGAGATGTTGATGGTGAAAAAAAAAGCGGAAGGTGCGCGTGAGCGACTGCGCATGTCATTCCGAGAAGAGGTGTCCCGTGTAAAAGGTGCAGACGATTAAGTCATTTCCTCGACATTAAGAAAAGAGGGGTTCTCGTAAGGCCCAATGAAGTTTAGACGGGTAGTGGGGTTAGCTGTGCGAAATTGGGCCTTACGGAAAGCATACGGAGAGGGAAGCGAAGCGCGAAGCATATCTTTAGGCTTCTGTCCTTCGGGTGGGTACAGGAGTACATAAGGCCCAATTTTATTCATTGTTCTAGAACCTTCTAGAACTTTCCCAATCTCGTAGATACGGTCGCGTTGTTTTGAAATACATTATTGCTCGTTAATAAAATGCCCAAATAATTTACCGTTGATATTTTGATAATTATTTTTGATAAGGCCCATTTTACTGTGAAATTTTTTTTTTTTCAAAAACGAAGATCTAACGTAGTAAGGGCAGCACGCGAGTTTTTCACTGTCTACGTGGCCAAGGGAGGTCAGGGGCGTCAGGAATATGGAAGAAAATAGAATGGAAAAGAAAACAAGATCTAGAAAGGATCGGAAAAGGGATAATAAAGTAATTTAGCCGGGACCCGTTTCAAAAGAGATTATTAAGCTGTAAGGCGTTAACTGGCATAAGGCGTCGGTAGGTGGATACGTTGCTTGCGTGCCGGACTGACTGCATTTGCATCTAGACGCCATCAATCCTCCTGACGCCCGGTTCCACCCTCCGCCACCCCCCTGCCCCTTGCCATGCTCGCCAGTCTCCCCGGCCCTCGCCGTCCGGACGAGTTTGAATTAAATATCTCCGGTAATAAGGGCCGACTCGAGACTCGCGACTTCCACCATTATGAAGTAACGAGCCGGGCTGGCAGGAGGAAGGGAGGGAGGGCGTCACGAAAATTTTGGGCCCTTCGCTTTAACTCATATTTTTTATTGGGCCCTTATTACAGGGAACAAATATTTTTGGCTACCGTATTTATTTCTTAGCAAAAAAAGTATATACAAGTGGCGACAGGCTAATCCGAGAATTTTATTACGAACCGACTATAGGAACTGCTATCGGGTGCATGATAAGGAGATTTAATCTACCGGGTGACTAGTTAATTATATATTAATTTGTTCGCGTGCAATCTTGTTTGCCGTTGACGTGTATTGTTATGTTGGTTATACTGACTCACTGTCTCGAGTTTGTATTAGCGTGTATATGTATACACTGTTGGATTTTTATACGGTAAACGGACTTTCCACCTTTTACGCGTTTTATCGTAAAATTCAGGTATCGTTACACCGTGGGGCCTTATTGGGCCCCAGCGAACACGGTCCAGTCTACACGCACCTCCTTGACTGTCTTGTACGTGTCTGGTTCGTCGAACCAGTGCTGGAACTTGTCCGCAGATTCGATTACAGTCGATTACAATTTTCACACGTTCTCACAATTCTTGGTAATACTCGTTACGTTGCTAACGAGCTGAATTACGTTTAAGAAAAGTAGTCTTGACTTTGAGCTATGAGATTGTTAGTCCCAGTTCGCTACACCCGACTGGATAGAGTCACAACCTATCCGTGTTGTGGCATATGGTAAATTTCGTTATGTAGTAATCCAAGTGTGTTTTGGATGGGTGAAAAAATTTTGTTTAATTCCCGTCTACCCATATTTTTTAATCATACATGTAATAACTGTATACGAACAAACCGTTTCCTAAACGGTGAGCTGTCCCTGGCAGTAATGGTACCCCGATGGATATTTATGGCGGCACGCTCAATCCTCGAGAAAAAATAACTGAAACACGCACCCTGCCGGCACTGGGCCGCTGCGGGATTCCGATCGCTAAACACAGCTCGTTACAGCCCTTGGCGTGTCATTTTGACCAGGGAGAAGATTATCCACGTCGCGTGCTCATCGACAGGTCGGCTTTCGCTCGTTTTGCTCCTACGTAAATTAGAGCATTGGAGTAAGTTATTAGAGGGGCCCAATCGATCAGCCGGGATTGTTTCGAGAGAGCCCTAGGGAATTTTTTGTTTTGCGGGTGCATACCAGGGAATTGAAATCTAGGGGAATTCATTGGGCTCGGTGGAGTAGGGAATATTTTCTAGTTAAAAAATCTAGTGAATTTTATTATACGTGGGCGATTTCATGAGAATAGCTGTATTACGTATAATTATATCTCACTGAGATATAATTTGAGCTATGTAGCTCGTGAGCGCTATGGGACCTTGAGCGTTCTTGGAGTTATTACGAATTTACGTTAAATGTTTTTGTCGTGTATTCTCATGTACATTCTCGAATTATGATTAGTGGGGGGAGATTTTAGTAAAGGTCGTTCACACTGCAGAACGGATACTGTGAGAAGGGTGGAGTTTTGATATCGCGAAGAAAAAAATTGGGCCTTACAGTAACAGTTGGGAAATTTGAACGAATCGTAGTTTCGATTAAGGGATTGTTGTGGGGCTGTATAGTGTGATTTTTTTCTTTTTAATGATAAACGCCATATTGGCAAGGCCCAGATCGGAAAGAGGAGCCAGTTCGTACTGTGTATTTTATATAATGGATACTGTGAAAAGGGTGGAATTTGGATATTGCAAAGAAAAAAATTGGGCCTTACAGTAACAGTTGGGAAATTTGAACGAATCGTAGTTTCGATGACGGGATTGTTGTAGGGTTGTATAGTGTGATTTTTTTTCTTTTTAATGATAAACGCCATATTGGCAAGGCCCAGATCGGAAAGAGGAGCCAGTTCGTACTGTATATTTTATATAATGGTTTTGGGCCTGATCGACCAGCAGCAGCTTCACTCGAAAAGTAATTTAAGGTAGATACTTATCAAAGCGATACAATTAGCGGAGCATATAAATGCATCGAATATTTATAGTTTCCTCGTCCGACCGTATCAGGTCCTTTCCGCCATTGCCATCGAACTCCTCCCTCCCCCTGGGACCGATTCATCCTCACCATAATTCAAACTATTTAATTAATGTTTTTCTCATTTTTTTCCTGTCGCCCGCATCGCGCGCCTCCTGTCGATAAGGAACCCGGGGACCAATTACTCGACCGTCAAACGGGCGTCTTTCTTCCACTTGTGGATAAGACTTAAGGCAAAAACACAGTCGTAACCATGCACTCAAAAAAAAAAAAAAAAAAATACAAGAGAAAACTAGATATCAGTATGGAAAGTATAAGCATAGAAAAAGAGTGTTCACCAAACGGGTCTTATACGTGGGACTGAGTTAACCGTCGTGGTATAGGGCCTGATTTTAAAAAAAAAATTTTTTTCATAATGGAATTTTGACAATTCAATTTGTCAGTGACTACGTCCGACTTCACAGTGCCGCGAAAAGGTTATGGGCGACACGCAACGGTATTTGAAAATTGGCTTGTGGCTGGGGATCGTAGGGTGGGTCACTTGGGGGATGTCTTGGGGCCATACTCTGGCGATGGGTGATGGTTGAGGATGCTGCTGAGGAAGATGCCAGAACGTAGTTCGAAGTGTCCGACGTCGGGGACGAGGTAGAGTCGAGAGAGAAAAAAGTTTTGAAAAGGGACTAACGACCAGCAGTTAACGACGGCTCTGAAATTGCTGGTTGCCCGACTGCATCTACTACGGGCGGCCTCGCCGAGAATTATTAAACTGTAGTTTAGTTTAAATTAAGTTATTACCCGGAGCCTGCGTCAGTTGGGTTTCTTTTTCTTTGGGTCTTTCGCGATCCTGTCCTGCCAACCCCCCCAAACCCTCCCCCTGTGTACATCCAGTGTAAGGTGGAGGGTCTAATAGTTCTCTTAAAGTCCTGTAGGAATTTTTTATGGACGCCATTTTGTTTTGAAATTTATTTATGTAGATATATATATTTTTTTTTTTTGAATTTTATATTGTCGCATGTATAGGGCGATTTTTTTTTTATTACAGGACTTATTTTCTGATATTGATTTCATTCACGGTGCTTTGATAAGGGCCAATTAATTTTTGAAAATTTTAGAATTTTTTATTTGCAGGTAGAATTCTTTTTCAAATCGAAAATCGTGTCTGGTGTATATAAGACGTTGAATGAGTACCTGTGTCGATGAGGCTACTTCGGTCCTAGGGAATTTAATGACGATGTCATGCCGGTGGTATAAATTAAAGGAGACTTTACGCGATGTAAAACAAGATTTACGATTTGCTACTGACTAAGATTCGGTTTTTGCGCGCCGTCTATATTTCAGGGAAATTTAACCTGTCGATCGGAAGTTTTACTGCTGACGTGTCTGGGGAGATTGTAGGGAGTTTGAAGAAAAAAAAAATTAATTTCCTAAAAGCGTTAATTATTTATTATTGCGAATTTTACTTTTGGCATAATTCAGCAATCTATTCGTGGATCAATTGATTTCATAAGTGGAATAAAAATAATTCTTATCTTTTTCTAGTCAAATGTGAAACTACGAGTCACGCGATGAAAAGTACTAGAAATAAAAAGTGGCATCCAGCGGTGCCTAAAAATTATAAAACCCATTTACTTCGTTTGATCTACGAGTGTAGAAGCAAAAGACCGAATTTGAAAGTGAAAATTTTTCAAAAGTTAATCCAGCATCCCAAATTGCCGTGAACGAAGTTTAGTCTATAATTAGTAATCCATGAAATTCCCTAGAACTTTCCACGAAGACACCGGTAACTCCGTGAAACTGAGTGCCTAGTGTTTTTTATCCCCACGTTTTTCTACGGCATAGGGGAAAAGTAAATTTTTCCCCAGGTGACTCTCGTGCCAAGGAGAAACGATCCGCTAAGAGGTGGCAGTCCTGAAGAATGTTTGATACCAAAGACCAAGTTAGGTTATACCATAAGAATAAACAAACGTTAGGGGTGCGAATGGGATCACGTAAAAAAAAGAGATTTCCACCCTCGTGAAGTTTCGCGGCTCCGGAACCGATTCTTACCGACGGGTTGGTAGAGCCGAAGGGTTGCGGACTCTCTTCTCGATGGGGATTCCCCGTTAAGCGATCCCCAGGGAGCCTACCAAACGATCTTATGATTGACCACGTTACAAGAATCCCTAGGGATCGTTTGAGGGGTACTTTTTTTAGGATAAGTTGGTAATACGAAAATTTCACCCAACATCTTTCCCCGTCATTAATTTTCGGTTGTTTCGCCCAATTTTACGAGTGGCTCTCGGATTCTAGTAAAAGTCCCTAGAAATCATGGATCAGGCCGATTTAATGATTTTCTACGTAATCAATGACAAGTCATACTATTTTTCTTCTTAGACAATTGGTACGCCGTATTGCAATATATTTCAATACCTTTCTTATCCTCGTCGTCGTCACCGTGATCACCGGCATGATGAAGATGATGAGCACCGGGATGATGAGCGGCTATGGCCGGTGCAAGAGGATGATTTCCCAATGCAGGATGTGGATGGTGTGGATGATGATGACTGAGGAACCTAACGGCTGCTGCGGCAGCTTGATGATGAGCCTGCATGGACTGCTGGACCTGGCTCTGCACCTGTCCCAGGACAGGATGATGAGGTGGCCATCCGGTAAGATGAAAGGGAAACACTGGTGCAGCCCTTGGGAAAAGTCTACCTGGCGCTAAGAGGGAACCACCGGATGCACCGGAACCGCCACCAGGAGGCGGTGGGAAGGAGAGACCACCTCCTGGTTCCAGGACCATTTTTGGTACCAACTTTGCGACTCGCAGCTCCTCAAGGAGTCCGTCCGGTTTGTCTTTAGGTAATTGTATTATTTTTTCACCACTGACATTTATTATTGCTATTTTCTTTTTTAGCTCTTCTACGGCCTCTGAACCTGCTGATCTCTTTCTTAAAAGTTCATCATCCACTCTTCCCCAAGGCAACGCTCCGTGACTGTTCGCCACCTGATTCCAAATTTCCTTATCAGGATCATCGGCGTTATCAGTAAATATTATTCATCAACCTTCACTAGGGATATTCATCTCAGCCTCCCTATCGGACACTACCAGTATCATCATAGGCCCTCTTTCGTACTGTTCGCTTCCCGTCGGCCGTTCCTCATCGATCCGAATTATCTTCTCCGTCGGCAGCACAAAATATTAATACCAACCGACACTTCACGGACTTGAACTTGGTCTGCTTGTCGCCAGGCAATTAGCTAAGACCGATTGACATGAGTGACGTCAAAGTAACGATAATCCCCACGAGAAGATTGATCTCCAGTACCACGAACTTCGACACCCTTTTGCAAAAGAGATCAGCCCGAAGAAGAATCCGATGCACAACCCTTGTAAATATAAAAAAATTTTTCTAAAACGTCGTAGCCAAAAAACAATTTCGGTCAACCCCAAAAACCTAATCCAGTCCCCAATCCATCACTGTTGCCAACCAAACCATACATCACAGAGCACTGATTGATCTTGAGTAAAATCACTAGATAACAAGGGACGATCAAGGATCGATCCTGGTGTATACGCTTGTTAGAAAAAATTATTTTAAAAAATATTAGTCCACGTGTGTAACAATCGTGCTTTGATGATCACTGATTATGCACTTAAGAAATTGTTTGTAAAATTATTCCAAATCTATTGAAAGATCGCTCGATGATATTTTACTCGCGCAACGCTCAATCGCTCACGGGTCAAAATATATAGGGATTTCGTGAAGCAAAGGGACCTGGCAGTCAGGGCGAACCACGGCACGAGCCAACGGCACAACACTATCTGCCTTCGGAGTCAAAGCATAGCTGCTCCCCTCTATGCTCCTACGAGAAACCGGTCCTGGTACCCACCCAGAGCTCGGCCATTGGCTGCCGGTTCGCTCAGTTCCTACGATTCACGATATCGCCAGCCAATCCCTTCGCTTGGATTACGTGACGGGACACACCCCCTCGACGCATTTTTGCCCTCGAATTGAATCGACGCCCCTACCCACTGCAGCGTCGCTATTGCTGGAGGGGACGAATCAATTGACGGCTACCCCGAAACAGGCCGCAAGATGGCTCCTCCCTACCCACCACCGTAGACCCGAAAAACCACCCCTGGTCTCGACAGCGCTTTAGTGCTGTATATATATATAGTATGCTGGAACAGACCAAGGGGATGCTTTAGAGAATTTACCAAATTTTACGATTTTATTTACAAAATATGTATTTTAAGAAATCTTTGGTCTCGTGCGTCCCCTTGTGTTTTGACGTTCCTTCGTCCCCTGGAGGGACGATTTCGTAAAAAATTTTTTTACAATTGTCAACTACCCAGAAAAACCCGGGATTTATTGTCGATCATAATTCCCACCAGTGAAATTGGCAGGAAAATTTTTTTTGAAGGGATGATTAAAGTTTTTCGGATCTGACCGGTAGAACGGGCTATACCGGTCGATAAGGTAGGGATCAGTTCAATATACTGGATATACGAATGAATTCGAATGAATTCGAATGAATTTCGAGGGTGGAATTAAGAGGGCCGAGCCTACTTAGCCAAGGCAACCCCTACTTTTCCGAAGCTGTCCCCTCAAACTACCCCTACCAGTTATCCAGAAATTCCCTGCCATGGGCGTACTCTCCACCACCCCTCGGCAAACGCTGCTTCCGAGTCCTCAGGGGCGCGATCCTCTTTTAATAAGAGGGGCGCCAGGGGCGAGGGGGGGGCTGGCGGAGGCGTTAAGTAATTACGTCTATTCTCTTCTGGGGAGGAAATTACCTTTGGCTCGCGCGGCATGGGGTGGGAAAAATTAGGAAATTAAAATTAACCCTCCCCCCCCCCCCACCCCCCCACCAACGTCTACCAGCCGGCCGGAACTCTCTTCTCAAATTTAGGAGGAGCCCAGGCACCTCCACCGTCGGCCATTAACCATTAGCCCATTACCCAATCTTTCCGTACACCCGGTATAAGCGGGCACCTTATTAGTCAAGTTATTTAGTGCGTGACGGCAAGTCAACACAGAAGGCCTAACCTAACCCCACTTAATTTCTGAGTAAAACAAAAAACCAAAATTTCTAACGAGCTCCCTACTACGCCCCACCACCACCCCAGTAGAGCATTGCTTAATTTTCCAACCCTTAAACTTCAATCCCCCCCCTGTCCATTACCACCCCTCCTGCACTTGGCGAACCGCCATGGCGACAGCTGCGCTAATCGAACTTTCCACAGGAGCGATAAGCATCTCGCTGGTTTCGCCTTAACGAATTTTCTTGCCAAATACAAAGGGTGCCCGTGTAAAAAAAAATTATTTTTTGAACGAAAAAAAAAGAAAAATGTAATTAAAAAAATATCCACTACCTCGTTTACACGTACAAAACAGCCCGGACACCTGCCCCCTGCCCCCTGCACGAACTTATTCATAAGATTATATCCCATTTACGCGACGGCGCAACGTGTATCGTTATTTAAGTTTTACATTAAACCTCGAGTCGCCGGAATTTGATCTACGAGCAGCGCGTGCCTCGTTTTACTTCAGGAGTTTCACCTAAACGTGAGATATCGCGTCCGATCAATTTTTCATAACTCTTCCTTCATCCCCACGTCACTTCCGTCTTCATCCATACCCTGGTTCTTCCACCCCATTCCCTCCCACCACCCCCCGCCAACCCTTAACCGTCATCCCATTACGCTCCTTCGTCTTTTCCCATAAGGAGGTATGCCTGAAAAAATTTTTTGCACGCATATGTATATATACACATACATATAAGGGTTGTTTAATAAACTCACCCCTAATAATTTGGCAACATCCCGACCATCAAATACAATAATCCAAGAAGAAGCACCAATCAGGATCATCCGTCTCTTCAGTTTTGCTCCTCCACGTATCCTCTTTGGTATCTTTCCCCCTCCCCCTCCCCCTCCCCTCTCACGAATTGAATCCTCCAGCGCGAGAGAGCGTTACCCTGGCAACGCCGAGAAGACCCTCTCGCGATACTCCGGTTGCCAGGGCAACCCCTAGTCGCCCCCCTCGACGCACCCCTAAAACCTCCAGCATCCAGGAAACCCTAAATATGCGACAAGAGGAAGACTTCCCGACC